CCGGAGGAAGATCTACCAATTCCCATGTATGGTTATCCAAAATTGATTGAATCTCACTATTGACTGCCTCTTTCCAAAACGCTGAATCAGAAGATGACATAGCTGCTTTAAAAGTTTGAGGCTCATTTTCAAGCAAGAATGTCACAAAATCGGGTCCAAAGGAAGTAGATGTTCTTTGACGTTTGCTATGCCTTAGATCTTCTATACTTGGGGTATTTTTCTTTGGTTCTTCCCGATGTCGTTTAGGTCTTTCACTTAACGACTCACATTCAGTTTTATACGGATAGATGCTTTCAAAGAATTCAGCATTATCTTATTCCATTACTGTATTAACGTGAATTTCGGGATTATCGGATTTATGAACCAAAAACCGACATGCTTTACTGTTTGTAGCATATCCAATAAAAATGCAATCAACATTTTTTGGTCCGATTTTAACCCTTTTAGGTAAAGGACCTTGTACCTTTGCTAGACACCCCCACACTTTGAAATATTTCAAGTTGGATTTTCTTCCTTTCCATTTTTCATATGGAATAGATTGTGTTTTGCTGTGGGGTACTCTGTTGAGTATTCGGTTAGCTGTAAGGATAGCTTCGCCCCACAAACTCTGCGGTAATCCGGAACTTATTAATAAAGAATTCATCATTTTCTTTAATGTATGATTTTTCCTTTCTGCAATTCTATTGGATTAAGGTGTGTAAGGTGCAGTAATTTGATGGATAATTCCATATTCCGAACATATTTCTACAAACGGAGATTCATATTCTCCACCCCTATCACTTCTAATCATTTTGATCTTTTTATTCAATCGATTCTCCATTTCATTCTTGTATTGTTTAAATGCTTCAATTGCTTCATCCTGACTATTAAGCAAATAAACATAACAATATCGAGTGCAATCGTCAATAAAAGTAATAAAATACTTTTTCCCACCTCAAGATGGTGTCGACTTCATATCACAAATGTCAGTATGAATTGAGTCTAAAGAATTTGAATTCCTTTCAATAGATTTATAAGGATGTTTTACAAACTTAGACTCAACACATATTTGATATTTTGATTTATTACACTCGAATTTAGGTAATACTTCTAAATTAATTAACTTCCGCAAGGTTTTGTAATTGACATGTCCTAAACGAATATGCCATAAATCATTTGACTCCAATAAATAAGAAGAAGCTGCAATTTTATTCATACTGTCAACAACCATTACATTTAGTTTGAAGAGGCCCTCTGTGAGGTAGCCCTTTCCAACATACATTTCATTCTTGCTTACAACAACTTTATCAGAAACAAATACACATTTGAATCCATTCTTAACAAGTAAAGAAGTAGAAACTAAATTCTTCCTAATAGTAGGAACATGAAGAATGTTGTTGAGCATTAACACCTTGCCGGAAGTTATCTTCAGGAATATCTTCCCTTAACATTCAATCTTGGCTGTTGCAGTATTTCCCATGGAAAGCTTTTTTTCGGGACAAGCAGTAGAGTAAGTCGCAAATGCTTCCTTGACAGCACAAACATGTCGAGTGGCTCCAGAGTCAATCCATCACTCATTCGGATTTCCAAAAGCATTGCACACAGATCATCAATGTCATCATTCTTCTCCACTATGTTGGCATGTCTCTTCTTCTTATCCTTTTTCGGGTGACAACAATCAGGGGCTTTGTGATCGGGTTTTCCACAATTGTAGCAGCTACCCTTGAATTTTTTTTTTGTTCTGCTCCTTAGTCTGTCCAGAAGACCTCTTTCTCTTCTTACTTTTTGGAGCAGTCTCCTCAACGGTATTAGCTCCCATGATCATTGAATTTCCACAAGACTTCTTCTCGGTTGTTTTGTTGTCTTCCTCAATCTTGAGACGAATCACAAGATCTTCCAGCTTCATTTCTTTGTGTTTGTGCTTAAGATAGTTCTTGAAATCTCTCCACGAAGGAGGCAATTTTTCAATCATTGCAGCCACTTGAAATGCTTCATTCACGACCATACCTTCAGCAATAAGGTCATGAAAAATAAGTTGAAGCTCCTGAACTTGGGTTCCAACAGTTTTGCTGTCTATCATTTTATAGTCTAGAAATTGGCAACCACGAACTTCTTCAAGCATGCATCTTCAGTATTGTACTTCTTCTCAAGTGCGTCCCATAATTCTTTTGAAGTATTCATCGCACTGTACACATTGTACAAGTCATCCTCTAAAGCGCTTAAGATATAGCCTTTGCAAAGAAAATCTGCCTGCTTCTACGCCTCAACAATCATGAATTTCTCATTGTCCGGCATGTCCGCAGCAGGCACTGGAGGTTATTCACTAGTGAATTTTTGCATACCAAGTGTGGTAAGCCAGAAGAACACCCTTTGCTGCCATCTTTTGAAGTTGGCTCCGGAAAATTTCCCCGATTTCTTTGCCGGTGGAACAGCAGTCCCACTTGACGAGGCTATCGTCGTTGCCGCAATAGTCGCAGAAGAATTTCCGTTATCAATTGCCATTTTTCACTGTAAATAACAGAAGAGTTCAATTAATGGCAAAACCAGAACAGTAAACAATACTGTTATTAACAACAAACAGTATGTATAATAAATAAAATCGAAGTTTTTATATATTGTTTCACAGAAAACGATGAAGTTTTTATGTTCTTCAAATCATTTTCTGAATTTCAATACTCTGATGAAGTTTTTATATCTTTAAATCAGAATAATAAAATTCAGAAGGAGTAAAAAACCACACAGGTTTTAATCACCACAAATAAAATACAGAATATAATAAATAATTTCCTTAAGATTGTTATAAATCTGTATTGTTTTAATAAATAATTAAACCATTAAACTTTCTGAAATAGCTAAACAAAACAGAAAGTTAGTAATACTTGTTTAACGAAATAAATTCTGGAAAAATAGTATAGGAATAAATCGAGCCCACTGAATACATAGTGTGTCCTTAAGGAAATTATTCCCCTCAAGTACCCGAGGTGCTGGAATATATCCTCCCAAGATAGAACGATTTAACTCACCGGAGTGTTGGTACCAAAAACGCTGGTGAACAACGAGCCACTTGAAGGCTGTAAAACACACTGGAATTTTTGTGCAGAAGAAGAAGAAGAAGATCAGAAAATTTCATAAGGAAAGATTCTGGGATTCAAAGTATATTTATAGAGTTGCTGGCATTGTTTCTGAAAAGGTTTGCAACCTTTCAGAAATAGTCATGGCTGTTGGAACAGGCTGTTTGAAATATTGCGGGAAAACGGATTTAAAATAATCCGGAAAAGAAAACGGGCCTGACCGGACCGGGTCGCGGGTCATGGGTTACTCCGGATTGAATTTTTCGTTGATTATTTAATTAATTAATTAAATAATTGAAAGAAATTTTGTCCAAAAAGATTAATCAATCAATCGATCTTTGACCAAATCTGAATCCAAATCCGAGCGAGCGACGACGGCGCGAGGCTTGCCTTCTTCTTAACTCTTTAAGAGCTAGAAGAAGAGCAATTATATATATACCCATCAAAAGCCTTTTCTTTCTCCAATATGGGACAATGTCCCTTTGCCAAGGAGGGAAACTCAAATATTTCATTTTTCCTCCATTTCTCGTTCACCCTCTTTAAGCTACACAAGTTTAAAATTCCAACATTGATAACTTACTCATTTTTTGTTTCGTGAAGTTTGGATCCAAATAAGTTATCAAGTTGCCCACTCACATACAGAGTCGGAGGCAGAATTTCAAACTTATGGGTTCAGCATTCTAATTCTTTTTAGTTACTAGGTTTTAAATTAATAATATGTGCATAATTCAATAATTTTTTAAGACAAATATAGGGTTTGAACAAAAGTTACTGGATTCAATCGAACTCATATCCAAAGGCCTAGCTCCGCAATCGAACTCATATCCAAAGGCCTAGCTCCGCCCTGCTCACATATGCCACGCCCTGACCAGGGGTGAATATAGTGTGTTTTTGCACTTAGCTGAAATTTTAACTCATACAGGTACTGCTGCCTTTGTTATAAGCTATTTGTACGTATTCAAAGGATAATCAAATACGCTTTGATTGTACAGAATGGACCATTCATTTTGCCTAAAGAGACAAGAAATGTAGGCAGTCAATATGATGAGCAAGTGATAGCCAAAAAGGGAACATCATCAATTTTCTACTTTGTCATTGATGTTGTGCTAATGCACAAAGCAAACAAAGAATTAAGTAAAGGACAAGCAATTCATTTGATCTTTTTCAATCATTGAACCAGACTTATCAACGACCTTAGAATTAATTGAGACCACCCTTTACTATCCTCCGTTTGATGCAGAATTTCAAGACAGGTAATGGTTATTGGTCAACTGAATAGTTAATGAAAATATTCCTAGCTGAGAAGATAAGGAGGAATAATCTGAAGGCTGAAAACAAGAGTGAGAGCTGAGAAATCATTACTTCCTCAATGTTATCATGTATGCCACATTCTTTTGCGTCTCTTTATAGGATTTCATGTTCAGTTTCATTCCAACATAGGGACCACATCACCTTAATCAAAATATATGTTGAGTCTTAGATTAGACAACAGTAGCACGTCTAATATTGTTCCAATAATCCAATTCCACTCCTTTAACAAAAATAAAAAAACAGCTTGGTGCACAAAGTATCTCGCATTCACGTAGGATCCGGAGAAGAGCCGTACCCTAAGAGAGTGTGACGTAGGCAGCCTACCCTGATGCAAGTATCACTGGTTGATTCCACGGCTCGAACCCGTGACCTATAGATCACACATAAACAACTTGACCGTTACTTCAAGGCTCCCTTTTCCTCTGCTCTAAAACCGGACAACAATTAGGCAAACAATAGCAAACTGTTCTTTTTGTGAGGCACAAACAGAGAATGTGTCGTGGAAACAGAACTGCTGAAACTGCGTTACCCTCACAAGGGTTTATGTATAAAGAACGATATTTGTCATTTTTCTGTATCTTATGTCTGCGAAAAATCCCAAGGTTTTTCATGGAGTTTCAGACAGCAAGTAAAGAAAAGTTCTATTAAGGCCTTCTGATCAACTATTTTTTCAATTAATTGCAGAACAAAGTTGTAATCAACAATGTTGATGGTTTCAAGTATTGGTATTCAGTTTTGACATACATGCAACATAATAGAACTGATCATGCTTCAAATATAGCCTATATTTTCTGCCTGAGTTAAACTATGCTCGCATAATGTGAGGGAGATGTAAACCTCCAGAACTCTTTCCTTTCCGCATATATTTATGTACATGAACATTTTTTCAGCTTGCATCACAGAGACCAGTAGCTGGATCACAAAATCCATCTCGATCGAGTAACTGCTGAGGTGGAGCACTTAACAGAGGAGAAGATGGACTTCCATATGCATTTCGTCTGCTGTTTCCACAGCCTAGACTTTTTCTGGTGCTAACCCCTGTCACAGGGTTAGTCCCACTAGCATACTTGCAAAGTGCCTACAAATAAGCATGAAATATTCAGAAGATGCGGGACAAAACAAACTCCTGTTTAGAACAAGAAGATATAAGAGTTGGACACTTATGTGAAGCACATAAAGGAAAATGAATTGCTTCATAAATAGCACTTCTCATGCATTATTGACAATTTTCCTTCTTTGATATCAACAGCGATAAATCAGAAGGTTCTCAAATTCCATTTTCACTGGCTTATTTCTATCTGAGAGAAGCCTGGTTGAGGTTGATTAACTTTTTACAAACTTATACGTACAGTCAAAGATGCTCATGTTGGGTAACGCCAACACCATGCCTATGGCAAGGCCCACGAGGGGGCTGGGGTGGCCCGGGTCGGAGTCATGATCGAACATGGCGCTTGCTTGGTGGAGCTTGGTTAAGAAACAAAGTTGCGCCCTTGCGCGCTTGATCCTAACAGTTCCACTTAGTAGATTTGCTGCATCTTACACTTTATAGCATACAAAAGTATGATAAAATTTCAAAGTAAAATAGCTAACGTTAGGGGCGGAGTTAGAGGAGCGAAAAGGGTTCATCTGAACCCCCTTCGCCAGAAAATCATATTGTATATACAAGGTCAATTTAATTTTGTTTTTATTTATATATATTAGATATTGAACCTCCTTGGTAAAAATTATGCCTCAACCTCTGGCTGATGTAATTCATGGGGAGTATTTTCAAAATTTTAATTTGCCATGTATCTTTTCATTTTACAAGTGTCCTATCTATTTTCAAGTGGCTTCTTGCATGAAGCCTTAAAACCAAGTGTTGAAGGGCTTTGACAAGTGGCTATGCAAATCTACCATGTGTCTTCATGCATGGAAGACAAGGTACACTTGTTAATATTGAAGCCAAGTGGACTAATATATTTGGACTGTCAGGGTTGTCCTGATTTTCTTACTATATTTGGTTTTCCTTTTTGTAGAAGAAAATTATAATTCTTCCATGTTTAGCTAGTCCTTTTTCTTGTAGGAAAAGGTTTGGACTTCTATAAATTGAGAATCTTTCCTTCTCATTTAGTAGCATCCACAATGTAGCCATATGGGGTTTGAGAGTCGTGTGTAGGGGAGAACTTTACGGGACAAGTGTTAGTGTGTCACTTGTATTTGCCTCTTCGTGAGGTTGTTCTTTCGATATTTTGTACTCTCTTTTTATATAGTGGATTGCTCATCTCCGCCGTGGACGTAGATCAATTGACCGAACCACGTTAAATGTTTGTGTCTCTTTTGGTATATTTCTCGTTTGTTGTCTCATTTATCGTCGTTCAAGGTTTGTTTTACTAGTTTCCGCATGACACCTGACTTTTTCGGTACTAACACGGACAAGTGTTAAACGACTCTCCACACTTGTCATACATGCAACATAATTGCCTGTAAATAAGTTGTGCATTAGCCATCATACTAACTAAATTCTCTAACCAAGAATTCATCTTGCTAATCATTACTTTCTTCCTACAATCATTACCTATTATTATTAATTCTTCTCTCCAATTTTCTGAACATGCTGGATTTATTATTTAATTTTGTTGATTCTTGTATCATCTAAATAAATAAAGGTAGGCTTGTTTAATTCTGGGGAAATATTTCACATTGCTGAAATAGTTTCTTAGGGCAGTGTCCAGCACGACTCAAGCCAATTCGTGTATCTGCTCACAAATAATATTATTGCAGTATTATCGTGATTTTCTCGTGTGTTTCCCTACAATTCACCCCTTGATATGCCCTTGCTTACAGACTAAGCCTATTAAAAAGGGCAGCTCAGTACACTAAGCTCCCGCTATGCGCGGGTTCCGAGAAAAGACCGGACCACAAGGGCCCGATTAAGCCTATTGAAGATTTTAAGTTTTCTATCTATTTTCAGAACTTCCTATGACTTGTCCACCTTATTTTAGTTGTAGAACTATCAGTAGTTCGGAATGAACATTACACAATCCTGCAACATGCTTAGCATGCTGTTTCAAGAATTTAATTCACAAAATGAGGAAACTTGAAACTCTTAGATATTTGCAAATGCTCAAACAATCACACTAAGTACAAGTTTTACCCAGAGATTTTTCTCTAGTATGGATTTTCAGTGACTCTTATCTTTATCATTAGTACTAGGTGGTGTAATAGCAGAACTAATTAAGACTGCGAACTTCTCTGAGACTAATTACCTGTTTCTGAAGGAGGTCAATAACTGCATCACTGAAATCAGCACCTTCAATAATGGCACCCCCAAGGTCACTACGAGTCAGAACAGATCTAACAAGAACAGCATTAGTGAGATTAGCTTCATTAAGCACCTGCAAATTAAAGGAAAGAACAAAGTTATCTTAACATTCTGAAAGTGAAGTCACTTTTGCTAGAATCTACAGCCAGTGTAGTTGTCATTAGTAAAGTTTTTGACTTGGACTAAATTCATAGGCTACAATGTGCATACCATCCGATCCATCAATGTGTCACTCAAATCTGCCCCTGTTAATTACAATGCAAACAGGAATTAGCAATATATATCTACAGTCTGAACCACAGTCTTTAACTTTGAATGGAAAACTGAAAATGTAGTAAGAAGTAAGAGTAGATTTGACTAAGTTGAACCGGATGAAACCACAGTCTGAACCACAGGCTTTAATTGTTCTCATAGAAGTGTGACTTTTCTGAAAAGTCTGCTTGTAATCCCCTAAAGAATATACGGGCAATATTTCTTGAAAGATAGCGATCTTTCACGCCTCAAAGCTATACTTCTCCTTTAATCTTCTGCATTTTTTTCTAACAGAAAGCTCAAACTAGTTTTGTAAGATGTAGCAATTAACTTGTGAAAGTACAAAACTAACTATACTACAGCTTCTTTTGTGCATTTTGTGAAACTTTTCATATTTCCCCTTGAGATTTCAAGTATTCATAGTCTAATAATTGTTTTATACTTCTCCGTTTAGTTTTCCATCTTCCACTATTTCTTTTTCTTAAGAGCATGTTTGGAAAGTTGAATTGGATTTGGATGTAATTACACAGTTTGGCATGTTTGTTTGGCCAAGTAATTACTAAGTCAGCATAAAATTGGGTGTAATTGGAGAGGTGTAATTACACTATTCAATTCTCAAGTGGGAGGTGAGAATATGTGGTAATTACATTGTGTAATTACAAGGTTACTTTTTAATTTCTTTCTTTTTTTATTTAATTTATTTTCTTTATAACTTTTTATTTCCATTATTTTACTTTTAATTTATTTTTAAATTTAAAATATATTTTTTTGTACATTATTTATCATTTATTTCTCTACCTTTACTTCTTGTGATTACATGTAATTGCTCGTATATTTTATTTCTTATTTGTTTTATTTTTTTTATTTTGCGTAACTGCGTTATTATTCTAGTTTTTGAAACTACACATCCTAATATTATAAATAATGAGTCATTAACTAACTTGACATATAATGAGTGATGTCCTTAAAGTAGAATTTCGTTGTTGAATGAGGTTATAAATTTATAATATTTTCTAATTTTAGGTTGTATTGGAACCAGGGGCGGCCCAACCTCATCGGAGGCCTAAAGCAAAATCTTAATAAGAGGCCTTATATATATATATATATAT